CCGAGAATTATCACATTATTAGATAATGCAGGACGAATGAAAGCTAGAACTCGTCCCGCAATTTTACGGACCAGATATTATACGGCTTCTTCAGACCAAGAGGCCTATTATTATTCTCTGTTGGTAACACATGTTCCTTTTAGAGCAGAAGAAGAATTATTGGACGGGTTTGAAACTGCCAAAGAAGCTTTTATGAGTAAAAGGCATTTGCTTCGGCCATTACATAATGATTACAATGCGGAAACAATGTCAAGATGGGAATCGGAAATTCAACAAGCTATTAGTCGTCTTGTGGCAGAAAACGCAGCGACTTATATGATAGAACACGATGAAAATGAACACGGCGAATAGAATTTCAATGACGTGGTAGTCCACATGTGCATATGGTGATATGGTGCCAGAACATGCCTTCTTTTGAAAGCCGCGAAGGCATTGAATTAATAGATAGTGTAATTACTTGCGAAATACCTGATGCAGAGGATGATCCGGAAATGAATAATTTAGTTAGACGTTTGCAAACGCACAAACACACTCATACTTGTTTTAAAAATGGAAATCAATGTCGATTTAGTTTTCCGCGATTGACTTCAGGTACAACTAAAATTTTGGATGATGAAGATGCTGTACGCAATGGCGGCAGATTTTGCATTCTTAAGAGAAATGCTAATGAAACGATGATTAACAATTATAATGCTAGAATATTGAAAGTTTAGCGCGCAAACATAGACATCCAACCATGTGGTTCTGCTTTGGGTGGAGCATATTACATTTCAAAATATATATCGAAGTCTGAACCGGCTGAAATATCTAGGTCTATACGGGAATCTATTAGAAAAGTTCAAGAACGAGGTGGAAGTTTTGCAAATCAGATCTTTGCAATGCAAAACGCCATTTTAACACATCGCGAAGTGTCAGCAACGGAATGTGCTTATCGTCTCTGCCATTTGAAGTTACGTGATAGTTCTCGAAAATGCGTTTTTGTTAATACTTGTGCTCCATCTCAAAGATACCGTATGTTGCGCGTAGATTTTTCAGAAAATTCGGAACCATTTCAAAATGTGTTTGATAAGTATGTTTGTCGACCCCATAATTTGGAATCTCTAAGCTTAGGCGAATTTGCAGTTCAGTTTGAGACAATAACAAGCATTGATATGTCTGAAGATAATCAGGATGCTGATGCTTATGCTCATGATGATGAGAATACGACATGACGACCGAGAATTATCACATTATTAGATAATGCAGGACGAATGAAAGCTAGAACTCGTCCCGCAATTTTACGGACCAGATATTATACGGCTTCTTCAGACCAAGAGGCCTATTATTATTCTCTGTTGGTAACACATGTTCCTTTTAGAGCAGAAGAAGAATTATTGGACGGGTTTGAAACTGCCAAAGAAGCTTTTATGAGTAAAAGGCATTTGCTTCGGCCATTACATAATGATTACAATGCGGAAACAATGTCAAGATGGGAATCGGAAATTCAACAAGCTATTAGTCGTCTTGTGGCAGAAAACGCAGCGACTTATATGATAGAACACGATGAAAATGAACACGGCGAATAGAATTTCAATGACGTGGTAGTCCACATGTGCATATGGTGATATGGTGCCAGAACATGCCTTCTTTTGAAAGCCGCGAAGGCATTGAATTAATAGATAGTGTAATTACTTGCGAAATACCTGATGCAGAGGATGATCCGGAAATGAATAATTTAGTTAGACGTTTGCAAACGCACAAACACACTCATACTTGTTTTAAAAATGGAAATCAATGTCGATTTAGTTTTCCGCGATTGACTTCAGGTACAACTAAAATTTTGGATGATGAAGATGCTGTACGCAATGGCGGCAGATTTTGCATTCTTAAGAGAAATGCTAATGAAACGATGATTAACAATTATAATGCTAGAATATTGAAAGTTTAGCGCGCAAACATAGACATCCAACCATGTGGTTCTGCTTTGGGTGGAGCATATTACATTTCAAAATATATATCGAAGTCTGAACCGGCTGAAATATCTAGGTCTATACGGGAATCTATTAGAAAAGTTCAAGAACGAGGTGGAAGTTTTGCAAATCAGATCTTTGCAATGCAAAACGCCATTTTAACACATCGCGAAGTGTCAGCAACGGAATGTGCTTATCGTCTCTGCCATTTGAAGTTACGTGATAGTTCTCGAAAATGCGTTTTTGTTAATACTTGTGCTCCATCTCAAAGATACCGTATGTTGCGCGTAGATTTTTCAGAAAATTCGGAACCATTTCAAAATGTGTTTGATAAGTATGTTTGTCGACCCCATAATTTGGAATCTCTAAGCTTAGGCGAATTTGCAGTTCAGTTTGAGACAATAACAAGCATTGATATGTCTGAAGATAATCAGGATGCTGATGCTTATGCTCATGATGATGAGAATACGACATGACGACCGAGAATTATCACATTATTAGATAATGCAGGACGAATGAAAGCTAGAACTCGTCCCGCAATTTTACGGACCAGATATTATACGGCTTCTTCAGACCAAGAGGCCTATTATTATTCTCTGTTGGTAACACATGTTCCTTTTAGAGCAGAAGAAGAATTATTGGACGGGTTTGAAACTGCCAAAGAAGCTTTTATGAGTAAAAGGCATTTGCTTCGGCCATTACATAATGATTACAATGCGGAAACAATGTCAAGATGGGAATCGGAAATTCAACAAGCTATTAGTCGTCTTGTGGCAGAAAACGCAGCGACTTATATGATAGAACACGATGAAAATAATAATACGCAACTGCCTTTGAGAAGGGAGAACGATAACTGCATATTATTAGATCAAGAAGAAGAGTTCGAAGAAAATGAAATAAGGTTTTCTGATACAGAATTTGAACGTGCTGTTTCCTCTTTGAACATTCAGCAAAGAAATCTTTTCAAAAAAGTGTCTCAGAAACTGTTAAATAATGACAATGAAAATCCTCTTCGAATGTTTGTTACCGGTGGGGCCGGAACGGGAAAAACGTTTACATTAAAATTAATCGTAGAAGAAGTAAGGAGGCTCCGTAATAATAATATACAAGAAAAATCTATCATTGTGACTGCACCAACTGGTGTAGCAGCCCGGTTGATAGGTGGAAGTACCCTTCATTCGACGTTCACACTACCAATAGAAAAGGGTAGACCAGAAAACTTGCGACTTTTGACTGGCGAACGTCTTCAAAAACAACGACAAAAATGGAAATCTATAGATTGGGTAATAATAGATGATATTTCTATGGTGCCGTACATAACACTACGAAATATAAATTTACGACTGCAACAACTCAAACACAATCAACTTCACTTTGGTGGTTGTAATATAATTTTGTTTGGCGATCTAATGCAATTGCCACCTGTGTCGAAAACAACTGGCGGGGCTTATTGCTTTCGTCAACCTGCGACGTTAACAGCTGAAGTTAACCTCTGGAAGCTTTTTGATTTCTGTGAATTACCTCAAAATATGAGACAAGGGCATGATACTACATTTGTGGATATATTAAATAACCTAAGAGTGGGACAGCTGACTATGCAACAATTGGAAATATTAGATAGCCGACGAGTAGATGAAAATGATCTCAATGAAGTAATTCGAGTTTTTCCTACCACTAAACAGGTTGATGAACATAATATTAAGATGACATCCATATTGAAGAACAACACAAAATTATATAAAGTACATGCAGTAGATGTATCAATTGAAATTAAGACATATGGTCAAAAACCTAAAGATGCATATATTTCTGATGACCCTAACAAAACTGGAGGAATTCTAAAATGTTTGACAATCGGATTAGGATCAAGAGTTATGTTACGGAGAAATTTGCACGTTGATCACGGCCTTGTCAACGGAGCAATGGGTGTTGTTAGGGCAATTGAGTGGCCAGCTCTTCGGAAGGACCAAATTGAACCGGGAGAATTGCCACAGGCTGTTTTTGTAGAATTTGATGACAAGTCCATTAAACATAATGTCCCTGGGTTAGGGGTCAGAATTGAACCTACAACGACCGAATTCGATGCACTTCGTGGGCAAGGCAAAATAGAAAGAAAAATGTTGCCGTTGATATTATGCTGGGGTGTTACTGTACATAAGTTACAAGGAACTACTTTAGACCGAGCTGTGGTTGATTTAAGTTCACGTATTTTTGCAAAAGGTCAAGCTTATGTAGCTTTGAGCCGGGTTAGGTCTCTTGATGGATTGATTATTAGTAGTTTAGACCCTCGCAAGTTACTTCATAATCCCCACTATATTAACTCGCTCAATGAAATGACAAGATTGCGGAATTTGCCATTTGATGATCGATAATATTAACTAAAAAGTGTAAAATAAAAAAAGTAAATTAAAAAAATCAAAAAACCCGACTGCTTAATTAATTTACTTGTACTAAAAACTGAAAAGAAAAAAAATAAGTCCAGTAGCCAGAATTCTGTAAAGTAATATTTAATTAATACACAATTAAATAGTTTCATGACCAATACACACAAAACAATTATAAAATTCTAATGCAGAACATAACAGTCGGGACCCATTATTAAGAATATTCGATCCGATCTAAAATATTGAATGGGTCCCGACTATTGAAGACGTTATGTTCTGCATTAGAATTTTATAATTGTTTTGTGTGTATTGGTCATGAAACTATTTAATTGTGTATTAATTAAATATTACTTTACAGAATTCTGGCTACTGGACTTGTTTTTTTCTTTTCAGTTTTTTATAATAATATTCGTCGTCGGAATATAGATTGGGGTAGATTTTCTAAGCTTATTTAAAGAAACCTTCAATTTGATAGTTTATCGTTCAAATTAAGTATAACCCTTAATTTGACAAAATTAAATTTCGTTTGAACTTCCTTGAATTTTACCTAAGCTAATCCGTGTATCGATTACGCAAAATACTTTGTGAAATACCGTAAGAGCTGAAGAGGTGCCGCATAATTTAATTCAACTTATTCATTACTGAATAATTAATATGATTGTTACAGGTTATACATGTAGACAAAAGAGAAAATACCCCACCAACTATTGATTGGGATTCTAAATTATCTATATTCGAAAAGTTAATGATAATAAAGAGTATTAAGGAAGAGAAGTTGGTTTTCGCCATCGCCCAATACGTAAGCGTTAGTCTTGGAGCGGTATTCATTGAAAGCCCGACGGTACAACTGAACACTCTGTAAGTATTTCAACATTAAATTTAAATATATTCAGATGTACCTGCTAACTTTTTGGAACTGCTAATGAAACGTATATACGTAGCTATGTCAGTTAACAGTATAAGGATACGGTTTTTTTTTTTACAGAATAAGCTTTTTTATTATGCGCTTAGTGAGAAAAATCGCGCATCTAGCTAAAATTATACCAAGGCAGACGGTATTATTTGGTCTATTTCAAATAATACCACTTTTCAAAATCTTCTTATAACCTAAGATTAAAACAAAAAAGGAAGATACGGCACTCGCGGCTCAAGTGTACAGCTAAAATTAGGTGCATGAACACAAATAGCTTTAGTCACAATTTGATATCCAAACACGCTGCATGTGTACTCAATATAACATATTGCTGATAGTCTGTGTTAAAAAGATAAACAATCACTTCGATGCTTTAAAAAAGAACACAAATAGTTCAAGATCAAATAACAAATTCCACGGCAACATTTTTAATTCGTAAAGCTATAAAAAAAACAAAAATCAAATTAATAATAAAATTTAAGAGAGGTAGGGCATAGCGGATTTTCAGCTTCAATTAGAGCGCCCGTCTGGAGACGACACTATCTTTTGGTGGTTTTGTGTTTCTGCCGGTGAGTAAGGCCCCAGGGCTCCACGGAGTAGGGGATTGGATCAGGTTAGGCAACGGCGCGATTGATATTTTTAGTATTGCAAATGTCTATAGACTGTAGTGGCTGCTTACCATCAGGCGGGCCATACGCTTGTTTGCCACCCCTTGTACATAAAAAACACGGTTTGGCATGAATTTTATTTACTTACATTCGCTATTTGTTATCAAGAAAAGAACAACAATATAGCTCAGCCGTTTGTAGAGAGAGAAAATAAAACACAGTCGCTTGCCAATCCACGCGGGCTTGCCGTTTCGCTCGCGCTGCTTTATACCGTACAGTTAGATCTCGCTCGCTCGATTGAATGTTTATTTATAGAAGTGTGCGTGTGTGAGAGTTGCTTATATATTTTTTTATGTTAGTATGCGCGTACCGTATCTCCCCTTTCTGTTTTAATCTAAGCTTCATAACGCTACCACAAGTCCATCGCCATGCAGAATGCACGACAGCTAAATGCGCTTTAAAACAAATTAGTAACATTCGTTTTCATTTTTCAATCGTAAACAAACTATGTACAGATTTGTATAAGAGTGCTGTTTAGTCAATTGAATAAATAAAATAAAAAGCTAAGTCCACGCAATTTTGTAAAAGCTGAAATCTCTGCTATTCTTAGAAAACATCGCAATATTTTTTATAATTTTTAAAATATGGGGCGGCGATATTTCGCAATATTGTTCTCATAGAGGGAATGGGGCTGGGTGAGAGTCCTGAGCGGCTCTTATGCCACTGCAAAGGTAACTGTAAGGATTCTGAAAAATAAAATCTCACTTCAGAGCGCTTCAATAGCGCAATTTTAGACAGAAGTTAAAAATATTGTTACGTGTCGGGATGGGGTTCGAAATTATACGCCAGTTCACGCTTGACAGTACTTTATTCCCACACAATTAACACACAATGTCAATCACAGAACACTCACTAAACACAGTATTTCACTATACAAGTATCTAAACAATCGCACTTGAACACTTGTGTTGCACTTTGATTGCCTTTGGATTCGCTCCGAAATCGCTGTTGAAATTCAACTGTCTCTGCGCGGCGCCAATCGCGCTTATATACGTCGATCGACGCATTCTAGAAAGTAGCTGTTAAATTGAGAATTGCTAGCACCCGCGAGTACGAAGTATCTACTTATACCTACGCAGGTAACGCGCATAACTTGTAAACAAGTGCAGATGTCGTTGCACTTTCTCCCTTACGCCGCACTGCATATGGCTCATTTTAGAATGAGCCGCATTATTCGACCTCTCTCGCGACCCGCGGTGCTCTGGCACTTTCGATCTGTAGCACTTTCGATCTCTAGCACTTTCGCGTTTGTGGCAATATCTACTGCGTCATTATTGTACTGTTTTGCAGCAGCCTTACAATATTTCAGAATCGGAATTTAAGAAATCGGATGTAGATAGGTTGTTACTCGTCATCATCACATCAGCAGAGGCTCCCACTACGGCGTTATAATTGACTCAGCTAGACATCTCCAATTCGCGCAAACGTTACAACTACGCAAAGCAAAGTTATAAAGTACTCATGAGCATTAAAATTATAATGGTATAACCTAGTAGTCAGGCTTTAATAAAATACGATATAAAAATAAACTATTTTTAATCATAAAAAGTATAGTATGAGCATTATTTACTTCAAGATACCAGAAAAACATAAAACTATAAATAAATGCATGACAGAAATTTTTAACCTTAGTAAATACTGAACTTTTGAGAATATGACATCCAGCAAACTTTTAATTATAATATAATTATAAAAAATATTTCTTAAATTGTAGGCATCATATACATTAATATCTCTATAATTATTAAATGAAGTTAAGTAACATTAAGGTATATATACTTATTATAATACGTAATATTATATAATCACAAGTTTAGGGCGACAATTTCTTAAATACTTCGTGAAATGTATTTAAAGAGGCGGAAAAGATGTGTATCTACTACAAAAATAATCTAAAGTCTCATCATAATATATAATACTATTAATATTCAGATATATCTATTTTTTTTAAATTGCTATATCATATATTTTAATTTGAACATAATAAAGCATGTTCTGAAACAATGTTATTATTATATTGAAATCTATTAAGTGCAATTCCACAAATATTTTAGGATATCATCGTATGCAGTTGTGCAACAAACGCACTCAGGTGTAAATCGGTTTTCTAAATTGATTTAAAATTTATAATAGTGCATGCTGTCACTTGTTTTACGATAGAATTAAATTGCGATTGTTCGTATTTTACGGGTATATTATAGGTAACATTGTATGCTACTTAATTTGAGACTACTCAGAAAATATACTGGACACTATGACACAGTAAGTACATTATTCGCATATGTGCATATAAATTATTATTAAAACTATATACCTAATTACCAACAATTTACTTTTGGCAAAAATAAAATATTATTTTCAACACCAAATTTTTCACACCAACAACATTCTGCTTTGCAAATCACACAGATAGTCATATTTTTTTTTTATACAGGGTGTTACAGAATTCCGAATTAAAATTTGTAGGTATGTATTCCGAAATAATAATTTGTAGTTATCTGAGCGGGGCGCAGGGGCGCCTGGGGGAGAGGGGGGTCTGTTTAGGTAGTAGTAATACGTACGCATTTATAGGGTTGTCATAGGCAGGTGTAAAACGATATTTTAATTAATTTAATTAGAAAATAAAAGTGGTCTGAAAGGCGTCAAACTTTCGTAGGTAATTCTATACAAGGAACACAACCAAACCCTAAAGTTTTATTTCGGACTTTTGTCACACCTGTATATAGCCAGGTAGGCAAATGACTACCCCACCTGATTTTAAGTGGTGATAGTCCAAACGCGAAGATAACTGGTACAGCAATTATAAAATTGCCACCACCAACCATCCTCACTTTGCCAGCCTGCAAATTTAAGTAGTTGAAAAACTTTCATCACTATTTTATAGCTTTAATAATTAAAAAAAACAATTGATTTTTTGGAATGTGAAAATGGGATAGTGTACCAAGCTTATTTTCTTTTAATTATATTTCTTAGGCCTAAATCAGTAATAAAGGGCAATGGTGATCAATATTAGATAAGCCCAAATTATGCTACAGTATTAGGATCCCAAGCATATTTTATATTATGCTCTCCTAATGCATCCAAAGCCTTTATTTCCTCACATGTAAGCTTGAAATTAAATGTAATATTTTCTTTTATACGGCCCAGGTTAGTGGATTTTGGTATAATAGCTACATCCTGTTGTACAGCCCATACTAGCAGTACTTGTGCACATGTTGCTTCATGTTTCATGGCAATTTTCTTCACAACAGGATCATCCAATAAGTCAGTGTTTGATGCAGAGGTGCCTCCAAGTGAGCAATATGCTTGTAACAGAATATCATTCTGTTTACAGAACTTGAGCAGATCCTTTTGATGATAATATGGATGCCATTCAACCTAAAATTTACAAGTTATTATTAAATAATAATTGCGATTCTATTATATAAAAAGTTGCTAATAGAGAAACAAATTCACACCTGATTAACAGCAGGAACCACACCATGATTGCAATTCATAATGTCTTTAAGATGACGGATATTGAAATTAGAAACACCAATTGCATTTACTAAGCCATCATCATATAGTTTGGTCATCCCTGCCCAAGTAGAGTCTCTTAATTTTGGATTCCGAGGATCCTCAGCAGGTATTTTGGCCGATCCCGGAAAATGTACTAAATACAAGTCAACATAATCCAGGCCAAGATTATCTAAAGATCTTTTATAAGCATTATTTACGACATCTGGACTACCATGATCTGCTGGTGCTAAAATGTGATATAATTATTATAGAATAGTTTTCTTAATAATAAAATATCAAAGTATAGTTGAAGTGACAGATACTTACAAAGCTTAGTAGTTATGAAGATGTCCTCTCTCATTAAACCATACTTGGGTAGTAAACAATTGAGTGCATTTTTTAGATGGACTTCATTTCCATAAACAGCAGCTGTGTCTAAAAAAACAATTTGTTCCACTTAAAAATCTCTTAATTGAGGGGTCTTTAATAGTGAGATTGCATGTTTATTCTATTGATCATAAGCTCCATTTTTGTCATATCTTATAACAACAACATTATGAAATGTCTAATTTGACAGATTTGTATGAGAATTTCCACTTAAGTGAGATGTCATATTTAAGTATTCATTTAAATGAAACATATTTTAGGTGTTACATACATTTGTTCTTATTTTAATAACCCCGGAACATTAAAACTGTTTGAGATGCTTACCAAACATTCTATAACCTGCTCCTAAAGCATAATCCACAGTTTTCATGAGGAGTTCAGAATTCCGAATCCGATATGTTCCAACTAAAATCGAACACAAATAATCATAATAAAATAATCAAACATAAAATGAGATTTCACAATGTAGTATGATACCTACATGATATTTGTCACTCGTTTTTTAAACATGTTCCATTGAAAACAGTGGGATTTTTGTTGTTATTGAACTCAAACTATTGGCACCTATTAAATAGCTGTGCAAACTACTTAATTTTCCCCTTTAATTGTTTAATTGTAATTTAGTAGGGCTTTATAGAATACTTTATTCTTTTAGATCAAAATTTAAGAAACTATGTTTTATTTCACAACCTAATTTAGTGGTATCAAATATATCAACCAAATTCATAATCACGAAATAAGTATAGTTCAAATTCATTTATTAATTATTAAGTTATATAAAAATAAAGTACATAATTCATTCATGATTATATAATAAAATATAAAGCATTTAAACTATACATACAAAATAATAAACTGTGTCAAATTGAACAAATTTTAAAAATTTGTTTAAACAATTTATAGGTCTGCATCTAAGCTTATAAATAGCCACTTTTGTTTAAGGCCCATATTAATAGATCACTCTCTAATAAGAAATCATTATCTCAAGATTGTAGTCTCAGAGTTAAGACCGGTCTAATAATATGGGTATAAATTTTGGGATTATAGCAGCAAACAAGGAACACACAAAACCATTGCATTATATTGTAGGGCTGTTTCAGGGCTGCTGCCTATCACCAATAGCATATAATATAATGGACAATGTGCTACCATGATTGCTGAAGGTTCTCCTTTCAAATTTCTAGGTAGAAAGATTGATCACAAAGAACATACTCAATCCTTAGAGGCAGTTGTCAATAATTTTCTTATTTTCCCTCCTCTCCCTATTATATTAGGGAGATCAATAACATACAATAAAATTGAATAGATATTACGATCTAACCAATAAACTAACTGAAAATGGCTGTCTAGTTAATTTATATGCAGTGGAAGTAGGAGCCAGAGGTATACCAGCAAAATCTCTTTATAACCTTCTAAAAGACCTAGGCCTGTCCAAAACTGCAGTAAATTCAATCTTGGTACGAGTTATTTGGCTAGGAAAGGCGAGCAACTCGAGCAGTGAAGGTGAGCATTGATGCGCATCTTAAAGGGGGCCTCCTTAAATCTACACTTGGGTCGCAAGTCCCGGGAACTGCTCAGAGTTTCAATCTCTCTCACACAATGGACCCGGTACCTGCACAGTGAATCCATGGATTGCTAGGAAGTTTCTATCTAAATGTAATATCATACCTACTTGGTGAATCACCAGTTATAATTTAAATGTCCAAACACTTACATCTATGAAAACATCAGATAAATGTTTATAAAAGTTCAAAAACTCACGTCCAACAGCTGGCATTTTAGTTCCATTATTTAGGGTAAACACAGAAGGAAGTAAAGGATCATCTGACGTCATTTTTCTTCGATTCCGTGATGTTTTTGCTTTACGTGAACGGCAAGCCAACCTGTTGCGATATAAATATTTTTTAATTGCGTTCACAAAATTACGAAGTATAAATAAAACTAACCTGGCAGGTGCTGCTGCCCCACTTAGAAAACCTCACTATTACTTTTAAGAGATGACGGCACAAGTTACACGCGTGACTGCCTCGAACTTACTAAATAAATTCATTTTATTTTGAATTGGTGATAGGAAAACACTGATTTCGCCTGCGTGCGTGAGTCATTCCAGTTTCAGGCAGTGTTACCAGCCAGAAAGCCATTTCGCCTACCCCCCAAAACTTACCAGACAGATTTATAAAGAAAAATCCGTCCAACTTGCAAAATATTTATTAAAAATACAATATTTAATACATAACATGTATTTCTGCAATAGCATCCATGACTGGATCAACATCTGCGCACGCGTCGTCTTTCCCACTCCTTTCTAAATATTATTTCATAACTTTGTTTAGATAATGTAAACAATTAATGTATTGTTTAATCATTATGTTATGAAAGGTGACTTCATGAATCATCTCTGAAGTCATTTTTCAAGTTTACGGCTTGTGTAAATAACAGGGAGAAAAAAAAGCCCTTGCAAAGTATTTTGCCGGTTCTTCTTAGTACAAGGTCTCCCGTCGTAGATTTACGAACCGATGGAGTAGCTTCTACACATTGATGAGTGCTTGTAACAGCCTAAACTGAATAAATGATTTTGATTATGATAACAAAGACATACTGTTGTCAAATTTAAGTTTAGGTTTAGATAATCATGCCAGAATCGCAACCAGTGTCGAATCGTCATCATATCAGCCGTATGACGCCCACTGCTGGACATAGGCCTCCCCCAAGGATCTCCACAACGATAGGTCCTGCGCTGCCCGCATCCAGCGTTTTCCCGCGACCTTCACCAGATCGTCGGTCCACCTTGTAGCGGGTCTTCCCACTGAGCGTCGTCCGGTACGCGGTCGCCATTCGAGAACCTTCCCGCCCCAACGGCCATCGGTTCTCCTCGCTTTCGTCTTAAGGTATTGAGGTATTTTGGACGCGAAGATGTTCCGCAGCTTCCCGAACGCTGCCCGTCCGAGTTGGATTCGACGAGAGATCTCTTTCTCGAAGTTGGACTTACCTAACTGGATTGTGTGTCCTTGGTAAACGTAGTGGTCAACAACTTCAAGTGTAACGTTCCCACTCGCTGGGATGCGTCACTGAGATGCTCGAGCATGGTGTTCAGGTCTTCCAAGGTCTCCGCCATTAGGACTACGTCATCGGCAAATCGAAGGTGTGTCAGGTACTCGCCGTTGATGTTAATGCCGAGTCCTTTCCAGTCCAGAAGCTTAAAAATATCCTCCATCGCAGCAGTGAACAGTTTCGGAGATATAACGTCTCCCTGTCTCACCCCTCGCTGTAGTTGGATAGGATTAGAGCTCTGATTCTGTACTCGGACCGACATAGTGGCGTTTTGGTATAGGTACTTTAACACTTCGATATACCTGTAGTCCACTTGGCACCTCTGGAGAGACTGCAGCACCGCCCAGGTCTCGATCGAATCGAAGGCCTTCTCATAGTCCACAAACGCTAAGCAAAGTGGCCGATTATACTCTTCGGTCTTCTGTATAATCTGCCGCAGCGTATGGATGTGGTCTATGGTACTAAAGCCTTTGCGGAAACCGGCTTGTTCGGGAGGCTGGAAGTCGTCGAGCCTGCGAGCGAGACGATTCGTAATGACCCTCGAAAACAGCTTGTAGATATGACTCAGAAGCGAGATGGGATGGTCTGTAGTTCTTCAGTAGGGTCTTATCACCCTTTTTGAAGAACAAAATCACCTCGCTTCTGCTCCATGCCTTCGGCGTTTTGCCCTGGTGGATGACGGAGTTGAAGAGCTTTTGGAGGACTTTAAGTACCGGCGTACCTCCACTTCGTCATCGGTGTGTTTCGAGGTTGGAGCGTAGACTTGGATGACATTCATCGAATATCGTGATGATATTCTAATATATACCAAGTACGCTACTCTACTCGAAACACTAGCGATGGTCAGCACGTTGTTGACGAGGGACTTGTGGACGATAAACCCGACACCACCTACGGACTGTTGGTCGCCCTCCCGGAAGTACAGCAAGTTACCGGAGTCCAGAGTTATCGTGTCCTCTCCCTCTCTTCGGACTTCAGATAACTCTATGACGCCCCAGTGTAACTTGCTGATAACTTCTTCCAGCTCTGTCATCTTGGCATCGGTCCTCAGTGTGCGCGTGTTGTAGGTTGCCAGGGCCAGTATTCTGTTGTTGTGGTAGCCGTGTCCTACCCGGGGATTCTTCGCACCCCCTGCCCCGCCGTTACCGTGGCCGCTACCGTAGCCAGGAATAGCGGGGCCGCCGGGGACTAGGGGCCGTTTCGTATTGTTTCGCATATGGGGGGGGGGGGGGGTTTGCCATAATAGCCACGCTTGGCAGGCGGGTTGGCGATCGCAGTATACCGGTTCGCATAAGATGCTGCTGCCCATCTCCTTAGGTGAAGTGAAGTTTCCCTTAGTCGCCTCTTACGACACCCACGGGAGAGGGGGTAGTGCTATTCTATTCTAGGCCGGCACTACACGGCTTATCGAATCAATATCGGCGGTGTCGAATCGATTTACAGTTTAATATAACGACGACCATTAACGACTAACTGACTTGCTTGACTTGACATGGACTTGACTGAGCGAGACGGAAAGGTTCGAAGAGTACTTTTTTAAGTCGGCTTTAGACTTAGGGGTCCGAATCGGGCTCACTAAATGAACACAGTTGAGTGAGCCCGATTCTGGCATAATTCTCAGCTTAATAAAATTTAGTTTGACAACAGTCTATCCATGTCATGCTCTATACAGAATAAAAAAGAGAAACTGTTGATTGACTGTTGATCGCGACTTTTTACAGACTAAAAGCTTATGAAATGGTTTTAATTTATATAAAATATGTTATTAACAAACCCAATTTCCCCCAAACCCAATTTTCTTCTTCCATCGCTTTAAAAACCTCCCAAATTTGGGGGGAATCCCCTCAATCTGGCATCCCTCTATCAGTTTTTGTTTCATTTTCTTTTTTAAGATTTTTCCTATTCAGTGACGGCAAAGGGAACAATGCCTAGTCTTCAGTTTTCTTTGTTCTTTATTTTCTTATATTTAGCATGTGGGTGTGATGCATTCTAATGTTTCTTGGAGTGTTTGACACGAAATGTATCGAGTCGATGTACCTCACAGATGCTTAACGAGCTTTCTCGATAAGCTTCTGTGAGGTATTCAACACGATAATAATGTTCTCACGTCTACTTGATCGGAATGGGGTATATTTTAAAGATTCCACTAATTATTCAGTTGCGCAGACGGTTGTAACACAAAATCACACCAATTTTATTTCACAATATCCAGTAAAAACGTATTTAAAAATTAATTGAAATAAGACGCCAATTGCACTCGATGAAATCACAGATTATAAATCTTAAGAACAACAGATTTCAGCAAATAATGCCCCATTTAGTACATCTTTTTTTGTATTTTAATGAAAGCTCATGTAGTCGGGCAGTTTTTAAAATAAGTCAGGAGTTATAGAACATCTATTTTCATTTTTTTTATTTCTATTGAAAATCCTGTCTGTTTTACTTAATTCATTTTAATTTAGTCTCGATTTTTTTTTTACATCTTAGGTTAAAGTAAGGAAGGAAATTATTTTACTTATAAAACTACAAGGAATATCCATTCTGTTAAAAAAAACGAAGAAAAATCGACCCCAAAAAGAAGTAATACTTTGTTAAAGTTTTCACATCGTTGAACTTAAAAAATAACGAAAAAAAATTCTAACTCGAAAACTACGAAAAATCGTAGAACATACATGGGGGTTAAATTGATAGGTATAGTACTCCGCTATCAGCTCGCCCTGGCTTGACACCCTAGAAGAAACACCCTGTATATACTGTGATGAAATCCTGCAAAAAACCGATTTTGTTTCATTTCTTTCCTTTACTTTTTATGTGTAACATCTTTCCTCTTGCTTTCGTGTAATTTGTGGGAGTGATTACGTGAAGTGGGACGGAAGTGTGTAACAGGAAGTTTGGGAAGCGCGCTATTTGATTTTATTTTAGAACATAATGTTCAAATGGCTTATTCCTTTTGTAGTAGGTTTTATTTATTTTTTTACAAATTTATGGTAAGGTTTACACATCATACGCAACTACTGTAAGGGTACGGCCAGAGTGCACTCAGATTCAGATTCAGACTCAGAAAACAAGTGCGAGAAATATACAGGCAGGTTGCGTGCTGCCACTATGGCCACCCTGCTTTAACTACACTGTTTATTTCTCGCGCTTGTTTTCCGAGTCTGAATCTGAATCTGAGTGCACTCTGGCCGCACCCTACGGCTCGCTCGTTTTTTTTCTGTTTTTGGCACGCACGGTTTGTGCATTTGCGACTACAGGTATAAAAGGTAGGGAAACCAGTTATAAGAATCAATGGAACAATGGCAGTCACTTTCGCAAACAACATCAGAGGGAAATTTATGTCGCTTCCTATTTTCCTCTTTTTATTGCAATGCCTACATATTTCATGGGACACGACTCTTTTTCGTTTAGAATGACTTTTAGTTTCTAAAGCATCTGTGTCTAATAACGAATCTTCTATTCGATTTCTATTTCCGAGCAATCATTGGTAATTGTGAAAACATGATACACCTGGGTGGTTGTCCCTAGGGTTGCCAGATGCTGGCTTATAAATTCGAGACATTTGCAACCCTCCCCCCCTCACCCCTGAAAAAATAAAGCAGGCCAGCGGCGTTATTCGTTATTAGTTTATTTTGTTACGCAACTAGCACATTATCGGAATCCGGGACAATATGGTCTAATTCCGGGACAATCGCGGATCTCCCGGCCATCTGGCAAGCCTAGTTGTCCCCCAGGGTCTTCAACGCACATAAATATGGGACAAGATTGACATGAATAATATTGAATACTTACCTGTTTCCTCAAACTATATAAAAGTAACACTAAAATAAATAACTATTAATAAATAAACTAAGTTAGTTAAATTACCACCTGAATAATCCTATTTTTACTTAATTAAATTATAAATAAAACAAATGACGCCAAAAACTCTTAGAGCATTTATTTATTTAGTGGTAAATGCTCTAAGAATAAACTCGACCGCCGCGCCGACTTCAAGGTTGCCTTCCTTTCCTTGTCCTACCTATTTTAGTGATGTTCGCTCAGAGGTTAATGATGTCGATTCTGGCATAATTCTCTAAAGCTAAACTTAAATTTGACAACAGTGCATCCTTGTCCTTCTCTATACAAAATGAAAAGGTGAGACTGACATTAAATTTAGTTTTAAGTTTAGAGAATCACGCCAGAATTGACACCAATATCGATCATGTATCAATGCAAATTACCTTGTCTATATTGGACCCAATTTTCTTTGACAGCAGTCTCCTTAGTTACATTTTTTTTAGAACATGATAAATATTTTTTTTCTTGATGTATTTGATAAATTACAATGTAATAATAATAATGAAGATAATTCAATAATTTAACTAAAGAACAAATAGTAAGATATTTATAACTAAAAACCTTAAAATATATAATATCTAAAATACATTATTAAAAGGAATCCCTTTAGGCAAGATTCCAAAGATAGTTTGAATAGCTAGACTAATTCTTTGTCCGAGGTAGCTGCCAGCTCTTCGGTATCCTGAGAATAATTTTATTATAAATAATTATATACTATTGTATTGTAACATTGTACAAATTTTAGTTTAAGGATTAGGTAATCATAAACGACTTCCGCTCGCCGGTATTCAAGGTGTCGCCTACTCAAGAGGTCTAGGGTTCGAATCCCGGTGGGGCAAATGCTTGTGTGATGAAAACTAGCATTTATACCTAAGTCATAGATGTTTAAATGTATTTCTAAATAAATATATACTTATACATGTATTCTATCCGTTATTCTAGTATCCCATAGCACAAGCCTTACAGTGCTTACTTTGGGGCTAGACTAATTGGTGTGAGCCTTTAAAATATTTCATCATCATCATCAGCCTATTAAAGTCCTCACTGCTGGGGCACAGGCCTTCCCTATGGATGGAATAGGGAGATTGGGCCATGACCCACCACGCGGGCCCAGTGCGGATTGGTGGGTGCTAACGACTGCAAATGCAGCCGGGACCAACGGCTTCACGTGCCTTCCGAAGCACGGAGGAGCTCGAGATAGTAAATTTTTGGTCACCCGTCCAATGACCGACCACTGCGAAAGTTGCTTAACTTCAACGATCGCAGCCGAACGCGCTAGCCACCTGCGCCATCGAGCTCCTCCTTAAAATATTTATTATTTATTTAATCAGTTACTACATTTTAACCATTGTTATGCAGATATAACACTATATAATTTGTTTATTATCTTCTTAATATAAATCCTAAGCTTTATAATAGTAAAAACATGTAAATGCATTAAACACGTTTGAAGAAGTGCATTATTTTATTCACTAAACCATTCTATAAAATTCGGCTACTTCCAGCTATCAATTTAGTTAGCGAAATAAGCAGTTCTTGGGAAATTATCCCCAAGAATTATTCTAACTCTTTAAAACACGGCATGATAAATTTTGTAAACATTTGAAACACTTTCATAAGTCTGACCGAACTGTAACTAGGTAAAGTGATTGCTAGCTGTGGTGACAATAGAGCGCACTCTATCTTGAGAACTTTAAGATAATATTATATTTCTTTCAGATTTCCCGAAAAATGTTACGCAGTTTTTTTACTTTGTGTTATCCATTAAATAACGACATTATGGTTTATTTAAATAATATGACTTTGCAGATACGCTGATACAGCATCGAATATCCCATTGGTATTTGTTCTAAGTACCGGTTCAGATCCATTTGGAGCGTTTCAAAAATTTGCTATTGAAATGGGTTACCGTGAACGTCTGAATTCTATTTCTCTGGGACAAGGTCAGGGTCCTGTTGCTGAAAAAATTATCAACAATGCGAAACCAAAGGGAGATTGGATTTTCTTACAGGTTTTGTATTTAATTAATTAAAAAAGTAAACTCTTTATTTATACAGTGTGTATATATATGCTTGATCTGTTTATCGATATTTATTTTAGAATTGCCATTTAGCTGCGTCATGGATGCTTAGTTTGGAGTTAATAGTTGCAAATCTATCGAGTGAACATGGAACTCCTCATCCAGATTTTAGACTGTATTTAAGTTCTATGCCTACACCAAAATTTCCTGTATCCGTTCTGCAGAATTCTGTAAAAGTTACCAATGAACCACCTAAAGGATTAAAAGCAAACGTTAAAAGAGCTCTTATCGAAATGGAAGAAGATTTTTTTGAAAATCATGGTGATCGACTAATACATTAGAAAGTTATAGTCTGTATTTATTATTTTATAAAATTATTCTAAACGTTTTAATAAATCATTTTTGCAGTGCTAGGACAAGACTGGCGGACAATGCTCTTTGGAATTTGCATGTTTCATGCTATTATACAGGAACGAAAAAAGTTTGGTCCATTAGGCTGGAATATTACATATGAATTCAATAACAGTGATAGAGAATGTGCTATGTTAAATTTGCAAATGTTCTGCGAAGACGGACATATACCATGGGATGCTTTAGAGTACATAACAAGTACGCAACATATACACATATTAATTGTATTAGTTGATTAATCGTCAAAGCCTGCTTTTTCCGACTTTAATACATTACAACTGTAGTACTCAAAGCAAATGTGAAGAATATTTTTGAATAAATTTTATGATTACAAAATAATGTTAGAATTAAATAATAAATTAATCACAGGTTCCATAACTTATGGTGGTCGTGTAACCGACATGTGGGATCAACGTTGCTTGACAACTATACTGAAACTATTTTTTTCACCTCCTACTTTAGAAGAAGGGTATACTTATTCTCGTTCAGGAAAATATTTTTGTCCGAGGGCAGAGAAATTGGAAGTTTATGGAGAATATATAGAAACTTTACCAGTCATTGAAGACCCTGAAGTATTTGGTATGCATGAAAATGCTAACATAGCTTTTGAGGTAACCGAAATTACCGGATCATTATTACTGGATCAGCCCTTCATTTTTGTTTTTTATTATAAATTTAACTACAGATTTATAAAAAAAAAGTAATAGAGTCGATAGGGAATATGCATGATTATTTTTTATTTCATAGTTTACGTCATTTTCTTAATATAGTACATAATAATCAACGTTGAAAAAATAGTGTAATGAGTCTAAAAAATTGCACTGGCATTCTAAACCCTCGCTATTTTTGTACTTTTGGTGTGACGTTACAGTCCATATAGTCCAGGCAACGAAAAGGTATAGAGGGAAATGCTTAGAACACAATTTTTGACTTTGTAAGGACTAGTTAGGAGGTAAACATATCAAAAGTCCCCGCCCGTAGCCCTTAAGCCGGGGTAGGGGGGGGATTGAAGGTCCCATTTTAAGGTTTTTCGCACATATCTCGGAAACATCCTAGCGACATGAGACTGTGACAAAAGTGAAAGCTGATTAAATTTGCTACAAATCTTATTCAGTCAAGTTTTTTGATATCTTGTATAGTTTTCGAGATATCCGCTCATAAAAGTCTGTAATTATGGAAAAAAAAATTGCTTCACATTTTTGCTCAATTTGACCGGATAATTCTTCAACAATGCCGGCCATAGGGTTGTTGGTTCCACCAGTGAGTAGCATGCAGATTTCAGACAACCCCGCCAAAACAAGGATGGAGCTGACATTGCCAAGCTCACGGATTGGTTTGAGAAATTTCCTCCCTTCCCAGAGACCAGAGACATTATCAAGTCACCAGAAATCCAGAAAGCAGCAGCGGTCTTTTCACACCCTTTCTCCAACACCGCTGAAGTACAAAAGGCAGGTACATCTAATGTGGTATGGAGCTCCAGCGAAAGAGATTTCCCTCAATGCCTACAGGTACAAGTCATTCTTGAAATCAGTGGCCATCATCAAGCCTGATATCTCTGGCAATTTTTTTTTTCCATAATTACAGACTTTCAAGAGCGGATATCTCGAAAACTATACAAGATATCAAAAAACTTAACCGAGTAAGACTTGTAGCAAATTTAATCAGCTTTCACTTTTGTCCAAGTCTCATGTCGCTAGGATGCATAGTTTCCGAGATATATGCGAAAAACCTAAAAATGGGAACTTCAATTCCCCCCCCCCCACCTTCCCCCCGGCTTAAGGGCTACGGGCGGGGAGTTTTGATATGTTTACCTCCTAACTAGTCCTAACAAAGTTACTAAGTCAAAAATTGTGTTCCAAGCATTTCCCTCTATACCTGTTTTTGAACATTCGTGCCCTGGACTAATAGCAACCTAGCTACAATACAAACAAGTCCACAGTTAGATTAGGAGATTAGGTGCGGGCTCGGTGACTTTGACATATCCTGTAAACATGGTACTTGGTTGTTGATTTGTTGTTATGTATTTATACGTCATAACCTCACTGTCGCGTTTGAAATATTTGAATTTCCCACAAGATTTTCGTATATTAAATTCATGATTTAAACTATTTTTTATTATAAAATATTGATGGAGGAATAATACAAAAGCAATAGAGACTGTTTAGAAAATATATAGCCTTTTTTAATTGCATGCATGTCTATTGTCTTATTTTTTACACTTCGATCATTATTCGAAGCTTGAACATGAGCACTACTACGGTATAAATATTATGATATACAGCTGCATAATTTGAACATAAAACCAAATTCATTATAAATAAGTTTTCTACCAACTACACATCATAATTTCTATCATTTTCTGCTACTATTTTCCACAGAACAAGGAAACAACTACTTTAATTCAAACAATAGTTGACGTTCAGCCACGAACTGGTGGAAGTGGCGGTGGTGATACACCGGATCAGATTGTATGGCGAATTTGCGATCAGACACGAGTAGTTGTACCCACGAAAGTTGACAAATCGCAAGTTAATCCTGATCTTATGATACTTGATGATATGGGGCAATTAAATTCGTTGACCACTGTTCTATTACATGAAACTGACAGATTCAATACTTTACTTGGGCTTATACATTCATCACTAAATGATCTTCAAAAAGCTATCAAGGTATGTTTAATCATAACATGTAATATTTTCATACATTTTCTTTTTAATATATATTCTGTTCTAATATATATTAACATAAATTATTTATTAGGGAATAGTCGTCATGTCAGAAGCCTTTGAAGAAGTTTTCACATCGTTCCTAAATAATAAAGTACCAGCAATGTGGCATAAAAAAGGTTACAATTCCTTGAAGTCCCTAGGCAGCTGGATCCATGATCTAACACTAAGAGTTGACTTCATAGAGGTAAAATATGAAAAAATGCAAACAAATATGTATAATTTTAATGCTCTCCTATATGTGTGTATCTATATTGATTTTTAGAAATGGCTTTTGGATGGTAAACAACCGAGCAGCTGGGTGTCTGGTCTCTTCTTTCCCCAGGGACTATTAACTGGGTCACTACAATCATATGCACGACGCTACAGGGTGCCTATTGATGCACTTATGTTTGACTTTCATCCTATTCGTTTCTTCTTATCTCAAGACGACGTTTGCAAAGCTAACAAAAAGAAAAAGGTATTTTGGAATGTTTTTTGGAAATAAAAGACTTCAATTTATTATAAGGACATGTGGCAAGGCCAAATTTACCATAATTAGTCTTATCATTGATGTTTTCACTGTGCCATCGAGCTCAAAGTTGACTTATAATCGATATTTGTTTATCGATTTTGTTAAGGTAAATGCCCATCCCTATAGTCAAAGCAACGTCACCGTATCCACGGTTGCGTTGCAAACCTACCACCTCTTGATGCAACTTTTTATCCTGACGTTTTAATTTTGACATAAAATGTACAGAACTTATATCAAATTTGATTTATATTGCACTCATAGCGTAGGTTTGGAACACCGCTCAGAGAGCGCTAAAAAGCTATGGCGCGCAATATGAATTAATTTGCATCAATTATTTAATTCTCTTTTGTTATTTATTCAAAATTAATAAGTAATTTAATTAATTCTCAATTTTTAGTTCTTTTATCTTTGGAATAAATAAGAACGAAACCATTAAACGAGCACTCAACTTAGACTGGCACTTTTAATTTTATTTGCAGGTGGAACTAACCATATTATTAACATGAATAAAAAAATTAACTAATTCGGCCTTAATAAAAACGTAGACTAAAGTTTGCTAAAAAGAAGACTGAGACAACATTAGGTTCAAACCAAGACTAACTTTAGTTCGCGTTTTGTAGTTAGGGGGACTTTGTTTCACAAGGGACTCGGAAGATATATCTCTACCTTATATTATACACACATCAAAAGTGTCTAGGGATCAAGCATTTTTATGCGGATTTCTTGAGATTGAGATGTGGCTTTGTAATAAATTTATGATTTTATAAATTTATATGGATCCTTTTTGGTGCATTTCATAATTTGAATCAGGAACTGTGAATCAAATTCGAGTAAAAGATGAAAATCAGCTGTCAATATTTTCCCTATAAAAACATACAACGCATTGAAGACATTATTAGTGCTACTGTTTCCCTACTACTGATTAAAACCAACGTTATTATGGAGCGGCGACGTCATTTAAGCAGGGAAGAAATGCTCAGAGCCGTGGGAATGATAGAAGCTGGTTCCCGGCAACGTACTGTGGCTTTAGCTCTGAATACAAGTCAGAGTGTTATCAGTCGACTTTGGACACGATACCGAAGCACTGGTACCGTGGCTGAGCGCCATGGAGGACGGTATCGCTGCACCACACGGAGACAAGACCGATACATTCAAATCTTAACTCGAAGAGCTCCAACAATAACCGCCATGATGTTAGCCGTGAGGCTTCATCACTCTTCAGGGAACTTAATTAGCGACCAAACAGTCAGAAACCGCTTGCATGAAGTGAACCTTCATTCCCGAAGACCGCTACGGGTACCACCTATAGCAATGCACAATCGTAGGATTCGATATCAATGGGCTCTTGAACACAGAAATTGGGCAGAAGAACAATGGCGTTTCGTGTGCTTTTCTGATGAGTCTCGTTTTGGTATGAGACCGGATACAAGACGTATACGACACTGGAGAACCCCTGGACGCCAACAGCGATTAAAATCCTGCCAGGAAGTCCATCCTTATAGTGGTGGAACCATCATGGTATGGGCGGGTATTTGGATCGGCGGAAGAACTGAGTTGATTTGGATCAGAGGCAACCTCAACGCTCAAATTTATGCTGAGACGATTGTATCAGACGTCATCGTTCCTCTACAAGTGCAAATCGGTCCCTTATTTCAGTTAATGCATGATAATGCACGACCGCACACCGCAAGAGTTGTAAGACAGACTCTCGCCGCAGCTAACATCAATGTCCTGCCCTGGCCTGCTCAGTCGCCAGACTTGAACCCGATTGAGCATGCATGGGATATGCTACAGAGAAGAGCTCTGCCGAATATGGAGGGTATCCAGTCGCAAGAAGACCTTTTTTTTGTTGTTGCAACTCATTTTGAGTATGCCAAATTGTGTTGTTAGTGTTCGCGGTAGAAATACGGATTATTAATTGTTTAAGTTACCCAATAAAATTTTAGAGAAAACTGTTATTTCAGTCTTTTTTTCGAACTTTTGTGTTAGTGGTTCAAATGTCAAAAATCCCTTTATTAGGAAAATGGCAAATTTCTTTATTAATGCAAAGGTGACTTGGTTTATCGTTACTGTGACAAACGAAAACACTTTATTTGATGAATCCTTAAAGAAAATTTTAATTAATATCAATCAGGAGAAAAGTTATTGCAAAAATATATGTTGATCCCTAGACACTTTTGATGTGTGTATTTAATAGGTAGTAGATTGAACTCACATCAGCCCGGTATATCTGTATCTCGAATTTAGTTCAGACTTTGTACTTTTGGTTTAAAAATAATCCAACTTGATTTTCTTTCGTATTTGAAGACATTGAAAACTTTTTATCAAATGCCGTCGTAAAACTTGAGCCCTGTAGCACGGTAATATTATCTATATAGTATTCTATCTTCATACAAACGGTCGAAAAGCGTGTCATACCTACGCCACTCGAGACCGCGCGGCACCCGGTGGGCATCCAGCGAATGCGCCGCAGCGACGACCGAACGGTGTGAATTGTTTTTTAAGCAGTTAGCCGTGCTTAAACGTTTGTCTTGTGAATATTTGATTGAATTAAGTAGATAACTACATAATTTTTTATAAGAATGCGTATTTATGATACTACTAAATTAATAATAAAGTTTTCGTACGTCTCAGTCGAGTCGTATATATTTTTCTGTCTCAAATCTATATCTTATTTATTAAATATTACACTTAAAATAACATGTATTTTATGTAACACTTCCTTAATCATTCACAACACTTAATTTTTTTACAGATGAAATTAAATATTTACAGTCACAAAACTAGAGAGATACTCAATAGGCTAGTTGACTTATGTCGAATTGTATTAAATGAATGTTTATTTTTTAAAGTATTTGGTCTAATGAACCTAAATATATCGATTTCACTTCATAAAAGCAGAAGATTGCTGTAGAAATTTAATTTAAAAAAATATTTTTTAGTCTATACTTTTTAAACACTAAAAACGCTGTTCGCCACATCCGCCATGATTGTGACGTCTCTTTTAGTAAACAACTAAATGTCATTCATACATAACTTTAAAACTTGTATTATTAAACCTGATTATAAATGAAGAGACTTAAAATATTATTCAATGAGTACTTACATCAAAGTGATCTTCGCTAAAATAAATTTTACTATGAGTCGATAAAGTTGCAGGATCACTTTTAGCAACTTCTAACCAGGTATTGCGTAAGTTAATTTCTTTCGGCACTTTAATCCACAACTTTCAAACTGGAGTCTTCAAGGATGTGTTTTTACATTCTCGTACAATACAATAATGATAATTACTATATTTTTCGTGGTATTTATTAGAAATCATGTTTTTTTTTTATTATAAACTCAGATAGGTTATTTTTTACGTGCTTTTTAGCCGTCGACGTCATAGCATAGACAATCTATAGACTAAAATGGCCGACAGCGTTTTTGTATGTCCATGAAAAGTCTATTTTAAAATTAAAGATTTGTAGCTTTCTAGGTCTCAAAAAATACAATACATTTTTTTTTCGGTCTAATAGAACATTTATTAACCATTTACAACCTTTTTCCAAAAAGGGTCAACTAGCCTATTATGTACATGAAATTAAAATACTGTAGGCGGGCAGCTCTACCGCGTGGATACGCCCCGCTCGGCCGTAGGCAGTTATTTCAAGGACAGGGCCAAGTCACAATACTGTATAAATAATATTACCGTGCCTGTAGCGTCACCCAACCAAAGTAAACCACAATTATTTTATTCTACCATATCACGTTGATATAAAATAGAATCATTTCTTAATAACATTAGTTTTATGAGCCCGATAATAAGAGATATTTTATTTGCTTACATATTAATTTTATTGTGTAACCTTAATTCTTTGATGTTTATTTGCTGCTCGATGACACTCGAAATGGAACAGCAGGGGTCGTTTGGTATACTTTGAACTATTCCCGCAGTAAGCAGTTGTCGAAGCATGATACCGGTCTGTAGACCAGTATCCTGCTTCGACAACTGCTTTGGAAAATATATAAGCGCGATTGGCGCCGCGCAGAGACAGTTGAGTTTTAACAGCGATTTCGGAGCGAATCCAAAGGCGATCAAAGTGCAACAAAAGTCTTCAAGTGCGATTGTTTAGAGACTTGTATAGTGAAATATAGTTGTAGGGTGTTCCCTACACTTAATATGATATTGATATTAAATAATGATAATTAAATGATATTAAATTGATACGATATTGATTTATGATAAGGGTTAAATGATACACGCTATGCTGATGAATGCGTCATTCGCACTGATTTTATTTCTATATTTAAGTATACAAATCATAATAATTTATTGCTATGTTTGCATTAAAAGTATGCTAACTTAGTACGATGACTCGTACATCTTGCCAATTCAAACAAAAAGAAAACAAGGTAACAACATTAAGACTATGATAAATTTTATGCCTACAATAAATTGTATAAAATGTAAAATGTTTTAAAATAATTAAGTTACAATAAATATGATAAAGTGTATATAAATTTAAATAGCTTCAAATTAAAATGTAAAAATTATTAACTATTCCTGAAATTTAAGTTCTTCAAATGTTATCGTTTTCTCCGTAGCTTCTGTGTGTTCACGTGTATCGTGACGCGGGGACCCGCGCGATGGTTTGGCATACAGAGGAAACTTTGTTGGTGTAGGCATGTTGCCGGCTGAGGGCGTTGTGTGTGACCGTGCTGGTTTCGGTGGCGCAGCGTGGCTAAGTCTGTCCTTAGACTGCCCTTGCCGCCTGAAATAAAGAAAGAAACAAACAAGACATATAATTAACACTATACAAATAAATAAAACTACGTATATCATGACGTAGTGATGTGTATTATGACTGGATACGTCATTTATAGTCGCTTCTTTTAAGCTTTGTATTTACTTCTTGATCTTTCTTTCATCTTCGCTGTCCATTTCTAGAAGTTTAGCAGGTATT